ATAATTCTTTTTTATTTCGTCAGTGGAAGAATTCAGTTTTTTTAATCATAATCCCCATTTAATTAAACACACTTATACCAACCAAAAAACTAATATTTTAAGCCCTCCTCAAAGAACGTTTCCGTTGCTTCCTCAATCCACCCATTTATGGCATGGTTAAGCTCTCAAATCGTGCATCCCGTAAAGGTTTGATTCAAATGTGGGACTAGAATACTTTTCCTAGACGTTGAACAAAAAGGAAGTAAATGCTCTTCGCATCTTCCATGCGAAAATGTGCTATGAAAAGCGCCTGTGGCAGTCAAACAACTTATAAAGTCTCGGTTAAGTTTCTAACCAGTTACGTTATGTTATTATTCTTTCCTACCGATCTCATTTCCATTTTCCCGCCAGAATGTAAATTTCTATATTCAAATGAGGTAGAATGAACAGAGTATTTAAAGGAAGGTTTTTAGAAGGTTGAATGAGGACATGTTCTGCCTGCCTGAGGGCCACGTTGCTAAACTGATTCTCTTGCGATTAGCATTCTGCGGCTTTGAGTTGTTCTTGGCATTAGGCTTGTTACGCCTACCTTAGGCCAGAACCAGCATGCGCGTTATTCCAGTTGCGAAGCCGTTAGGCTAAACTTATTTTTATGCGTTTTAGTTCATCCATTATTTCTTTATTTAAGCCAAAACTAATGGCTTCTGTAAGCACGAGTTGGTGCCGTCTGTTAAAATTTATTTGACTTTATACCCTTTCCTTGTCTCTGTTTTATTTACATGATATGGCGATAATTCACCATTAGTTGTTTAGAGTTTGGATCTAGTTTATGCTCCCTAAGCAGATCTAACTTTATAAACTGAAGCTGACTAAACAATATTGCAAGGGACATCTGCATACTTATGTCTTATACTTATGCAAGACTTATCTCTGGCCGATAGCGGTGTCTAAAAGTTCTAAGAATTGAACTAGAGCTCAGCTTTGGTAACAGCCTAAATATAATAGTTGACGTCGAATACGTTTATAATTTAGGCATGTTTTCCCCCGATCGCCTGGTGTTTTGCATTAGCTGAGAAATGCTTGGCTCCAGAGCGGAATCTTGGCTAATGGCGCATGCGCCGCCGGAATTCGCGTTGAAATGTATTCTGTGTATGTTGAAATATATTCGTGTTGAAATGTATTGTGTGTTGAAATGTATTCGTGTGAGAAACGTGATTTTTGTGGTACATTAGAAGTTGCGATTCATATGTTACGCTGTAAGGTGAAACCTAGCGCCAGAGAGTCGCTATGGAAAATAAATGTATTGAAACTGTGTAATGTGTGTGGTGTTATTTTATTATGATATATAGCTATCGACGGGAAATAGAATAAGTCAATTCACCTGGTATATTTTATTCTTCTTTTTTTTTTTTTTTTTTTTTTTTTTTTTTTTTTTTTTTTTTTTTACGATTGAGTATTGGTTGATTGAACTACTCATATAAGCTCAGTCTGCTTAAAATAATCTTAAAAAATAATGGATATTCTTATAACGAGAATTCAGCTAATTTCGGAAAGTTCCCGGAATCCGTTGTTTCATTATCCGTTTGCCGCAGTTGCCTAAAATTCTACTTTACTTTATTTTTAGGTAAATTCTAGGAACATGCATCGAACATTAACTCTCACAATTCCTGATATTAACGTTAGTATAAAGAAGTCTAGACGCCGATCGAGGTCGGTGCTCTGTCCCATCTGTAAACTCCACCTCTTATTCTCCTGCTAGACAATAGGAATCACATTTTATGTTCCGAATACTCTATTGCTCACAGATCGTGGTATTTGTAAAGCACTCGCACTGTGTAATACGCTGGACAATCGTTTCTTTCAAAGAGCTTGGACCCTTTTTAGGCATATTTTATTTCATTCGTAAATCGGTAGAGATAATGACATGGCATGCTCTATTTACGTTATAAGGTTTGATAAAAGATTTGAAACCTCACTTAATTTTTTTAAGCATCAAACCTCTATAAGTTCGCTTCTACTGTTCTCTGTCTGCCTAACTTGTTGCGAACTAATTTATTTCACAGCCTGCTTCCCTTAATCTTCATTTCAGTAGAAGGATTTTGGAATTAGTAAAGTAAAAGACCACGATGCACATGGAGGGTAATTTGCTTAGTTGACGATAAAACAGAACATCTCTTCTTTACCAATTGTTAACAAACATTGTCTCATATTCCTCATTAACGAGAATCTGTTATTAAAGTGCATTATGTTTTTACATTACTGAAATTCCAATGTACAATTTAAATGCATAAATTCTGAATATATATATATATATATATATAGTGTAAGGATTTATTTAGTTTTACTAACCAGTTATTTTATTTAGGTTAAAATAGCATACCTAATAATGATTATTGAAAAAGTCAAACAAAACGAATCAGCGTTATTTTCAAAAATTACAAATATAACGCTGATTGTTGCTGTTCAACTTTTCCAATAATCAGTTAATTTATGTTAATTACCTTCGCTATCTTCCTCGCTGCTCATTTTCCTGCCAGAATACAAATTTCTAATTCGCGTGTACTTAAATAACGTAGAAAAAGCGATAGTATTAAAAAGAAGTTTTAGTTGATATAATCAAAGCGTGGTCCGCCTGCTGAAGGCCACGTTTGCTAATTGATTCTCTTGAGAGCAGTGCGTCTGCAGGGCTGCGTTATTCTCGCTATTAGCCGATGTCACGCCGGTACGGTACGAACTGCGCCAAATTTGATCGAAGATCCTCGTCCCCCTGTTTTCTAATCCACGAACTGCGCGACGTTTCCTGTCCCCTATTTCTTTCCCAAGAAGATTGGGTGCTATAAAAAGTCATTTATCGCCATTAATGGAACATTCTATTGACACTGCAAGCCTTTATTTTCGTTTATCAATATTGTAAAAATTGTGCATGCAAAACAAATATTAATTTAAAGTCTGGCGTGTGCTAAAGTAAAAATAAATTTCTTTTACACTCATTTTAAAGTTTTATGATACTTAAAGGAATGGTGAGCCAGATCTTTTTTATTCTCTGTAAGAATTAAAAATTTTCCAAGTTGTAGCTTTTAATCGCTTATTTATATATATATATATATCACTTTTGAATAGTAAAATTGATAGATTAATGACATACACAAAACTGATACATGATCAACGTATCAAATATCGGATTTGTAGGTCACCTTAAATGAGTTTCTTGTCTAGATAAATATTAACAAATCTTCTTAGATAGCAGAATGGTTTTAACTTTTAAATTTATCATTTTAGGTAAACAGTTCTAATTTAATTAAAAAAATTCTCTTTATTAAATCTAAAAATTGGACTTCTCAAGTCGTTCTAAATTCACACTAATATTATTGCAATATATTCCCGTATTAAGCTTTCCATTTTTAATCAATGAAGTTATTTTTAATAATTCCATGTTATTAATAATTCCATGTTTTAATACAAGAAACGTTTAAATATTTATTCTGTTTTCCACCTGATGTACTTTGGCATACATTTAATTTCTAATACACATTTAATTAATAAATTAATAATTATGAGCGTCAGCGGAATTTTCATAATTAACAAACAAACAAAAAAAAAAAAAAAAAAAAAAATCAAACTCCCTTATAGTCATATCCTGGGATTTTCAGTTTCCTTTTAATCCTTTTTTTTTTCACATATTGTTGTATTGTACTCAAGTTTTCATGTATGTAGAATTTATATATTTTGTATTGTATTTATGCCAATTTATATTTAAATGATAATTTTTACAAATTCTTGCATCACAACTCTAGTTAACGAAAGATGTTTCTAAACACCTTGTGCAAAGCTTAATCTTCAGCATGTAGCTTATTTTCCAACCTAGTTTCAGGCTGAATTATTTGTAAAATTAATTACTTGAAATTTAATGAAGTAAAAATACTTTTTTAATTTATTCTTTAAAAATATTACAAAAATTTTCACCTTTACCTTAGCATATCTTTTTACAAAGCCCTCTAATAAAAAAAAAAATAATGAAAGAAATTAACTCGGCGAATGTTTTTCATTTTACCCCAAAATATTTATGGATCAAATTATTTTTCATCACTGATCAATTTTTTAACGTGCTTAACCATTCTATTCTTGAAATAAAAACCATTTTACGGATTTAGTTTTTTTTTTTTTTTTTTTTTTTTTTTTAGTCCAAAGGGATTTGAATCCCGAAGGACTATTAGTTTCGTTTTGGCATTTTGCGTCGGACGGATAAATGTCGGTTCACTTTTCAAACTGTTGCCATAAAATGTTAGAGTCCTGCATTATATTTGAAGAAATTAAATAATGAAAATCTGCGTAAATGTATGTATATTTCTCACATTGTCATAAAATAACGGTACATAGAGTCATCGAATTTTGAATAACGTAATCCTCCAACGAATATGAGCATGTGGAAGACCAAATTTGAAATTTGAAATTTGTTTTATGATCGATTTCCTATTTTTTAAAACTTTGACGAATTTTTGATTAACAAACTCAAGGATTTCAAAGCGAGCAATGGCAACGTTGTGCAGAAAAAACATTTTTATCTCCAGCGCGTGAGTCTCTGTATCGGAAATTCTAAAGATATGCTCGTTTTAAAACTATTTTGCGATATTGCTGTTGCACTGGATCTTATGGTTTAAGTGCGAGGAACATGATATTTAATAAAGAAAGGTAACATACAAAATGTTAAAAAACGCCCCTTTGGACGTAATTTAAAATCTGAAACATTTCAGATTTTTTTTTTTTTTTTTTTTAAAGTAGGGGATTTTTTTTTTTTTTTGTCTTTAAAAATTTGGAATTTTTAAAAAATTTTTCAAATATTAGTTAACTCTAAGTTTTTTTGCAAACAAAAAAATGCCGCAAAATTATAAGTACACTGATTAGTTTACCAAATTACCGACAAGAGAAAAAGTCTAATATCCCTAATCCTAACGCAGGTTCAAGAAGCGAAATGTCAAACAAATAAATTGCAAAACAGTTAATTCTTTTACGTATCAATTTTTAACAAGTTCTAATCTTACGGAAGAATACTGAAAAATAAGAAGGCGTTTAAGTTCACTGAAAAAAAGTAGGGAAAAAACTTCCTCGGAGTAAAAGAAAAAGAATAGGCGAAAGAAAAAAAAAAAAAAAAAAAAAAAAAAAAAAAAAAAAACGAAAAAAGCCGCTACTGGCGCTGCCTTCTCTCATCGAAGATGTACTGCCGCTAGGGAGCTATGGATTCGCTCCAACAGCAGACGAAGTTTCGCCTTCAAGCGCGTTCCTAATTCTGCACTCATTCAGCTCGCTTGACCACTTCGTGCAAAGTTTTTCCAATCTTATTTATTTTCCACAACTTATTATTTATTTGCCGGTGTTTCGTTATATATTCTCAGCATTCGATTCTGTGACTTGACTGTTATTATAAAAACATATACATATATTTTTTATTATTATTTCTTGCACTTCCATCGAACTCTAACCTGACCACTTCGTGCAAATTTTTTTTTTTATGTCTCAGTGTGAGTGTATTCGGTCGCTTAATTCTTATTTATACCACAGTTCTTGTGATTTTTTTTTTTTTTTTTTTTTTTTTTTTCGGTAATAACTTTGCGTGCAAGTGTGTGTGCATGAAAGACTGAGTCATCTCTTCTGGCAGACGATTTTTTTCTTCTGGGAAAGGACCTAAGAGTAGGGAAGGCATGGAACTACCTGCGGCAGCTTTCGCGACGATCGTTTTCGCTTGCTCCGTAGTTTACGGTAGCCTACTCAGGAACCGAAGACAAGGTAAGAATAATTCATTACGAGAGTACTTTTTTTTTATTGGATTTTGGATAAGTATTTTCGAAAGTTTCGTTATAAATTAAAATTTATGTTTTTAATAAATTATCATTTTTTTAACTGAATTCTCTCTTCCATTTTTATAATGGAAGAAAATAATTTTTGAGAACTTTTATTTGTACTTTCCGTATTGAACAATTTTAAGTTTATCTAATAAGAAAGTTACCAATTACCACAAGTTACCACAATTTTTCAGTAAAAAGTATAATGACTGCATAATTTATTATTAAAAATCTAAAAATTTTCAGAAAGAAAAATGTGATGGTAATAATGTCGTAAATTATTGCAAAATTAATTTTGCATTACTTTACGTTCTGTAGCGGCTCACATCTGTTTTCAGACATAGTATTTTGGAATTTATTTACAAAAATTCATCTACTAAATACTGAAAAAGAAACTTCAGTTCCACACCCACATATAATGTTGTTTATCTATTTCAATACCTGCTTGTTGCTAAAATATATGTTCGAAATATTTATTAAAAAAAATAATATATTTAATAAGTGTGGCAAATTAATTCATATAAATATTGGAATACTTAGATGGCACAATTAATGTTTAACAAAAGAGTGCAAGTAGTATTTGCTGTTTATTTGGATGCCTTTCAGCTGAAATAGATATTTTTAAAAGTTATTGGCGTGGGTTCAAATAATATTTTTGTAAAAGAATGTATAAATTGTTTTCCATTCATCCCTCAATATACTTTCAGTTGTGCACTTTTTTGGGAGGAGGGGGAAAGAATTCGAAGAAATATTATGTTTTCTTGTATTCAGCAGTTAATTCCATACGTTTGAAATGAGATTTAAATTTGATAATACTGAGAAGTTTTGATAACTTCAAGATAGATCTACAATAGCTACGAGCAAAACATTTGGAGCTGTACGTTTTCTATACAGCACGTTAAAAAATTGATAGAACTTAAGTACGTTTCGCGTTCTAGGTTTTTGCTTAAATATTTTCAAGTTTTAATTCAGAAAATTTGGTATTTTTATACTGATTTGTAGTGTTCCCTAAAATTTTCTTATTTCAAAAGCAGCAATACACTATGTTTTCACCTTCGCAGTTTAACAATACACAGAAAGAATTTTCAGATTCAATTCTTCGCTGGTCTTTCGCACTCAATAATTCGTCTATAGGATGCAAAATTATTAAATTTTGATTCGTCTGCAAGCCTTAATTTTAAGAATATTATAAATCTTTGCTTGCCGTGGATTTTGTAAACGCCAGGTACAACTTTTTTTTCACGAAGAATGCTCTTCTTGCCACTCTGCTATTACATACTTCTTGCTTTGATGACTGGTCTGACAGTTTGACTTTCATTGCAAAACGTTTATCTAATCCTACTGCCAGTTTTACAGCACTAAGTCTTGATTTCTGGCTTGATTTTCCACCATATAAATCTTTAATACCTTGGCGGTAGCTTAAAATGTGATCCCTACGTTAATACCACGTCAACTCTTCGAAATATTAAAGACAGCTGAACTTTTTATATTAATGCTTTTTGAGATATTCCTAATGCTTTTATTGCCTTAAAATGTTGTCAGAATTTGCATTTTATGTGTAATGTCTTGTCCTATTCAAATCAAATCTGGAATTACTAAAATACTTTGCTAAAAAACTAATAAACTCAAACTTAAGGTAATAATTGGGGTATTTTTCATTTAAAATTAAAGAAAAATACATAACAAAAGCCATAAAAAATTTCAGCCAAAATCATCGATTGCAAAAAATCTCATTTAAGCTTTTAATATTCGAATTAACATGCGAGTTACTTTTTAGCGCTATTTTAACAATACTTTTTATTCTAAGGTATGGCATGAATATATTTTTCCACAAGAAGTAGATTTTGAAGTGGATAAATAATATTAGTATACGTGAAAAAGAAAATCAGGAGCCCAATTTTCTTCAGTGTCTACTAGATGGTTCTTATAAAATAATTCAGAAAACTCAAAGGTTTGAAAACAAATTTGAGGTATTGTGAGTTAAGTAACGAATTTAAGACAACTTTAAAATATTCAATTCTTATGAATATTTTCTTCATTTCAGTTTTAATTTTAAAGATTATCCTGCTACCTGTTAAATCTAGTTACAATTATTATTAATTTTTTGATAGTAAAAATAATGAGTACATGTTGTTGCGAAATGACATCATTTCATTTTCTTTACGTTAAAAAGCCATTTTAGTTAGATTTCTGAACAATATTTTATAAGTGCTATTTTATGGTATGACTATTATGATTAGTTTCTAGAAAAGAAACACGTAGAGTGAGATTTAAAAGTAGGCAAAAATCCAACCTTTGGGTTAAGCTTTTAAAGTTGAAATTCGTTTTGAGCTGTATTTTAATTTTGTTCATCTATAAAGATTTAATTTTATGATTTGGTAACAGCAACTATTATATTTATTTTAATAAATAATTTAATTAATATAGTTATTTAAGAAGAGAAATTGAATGATTTTTTCACATTAAAAAAGTTTGATGTATTTTTTTAAAAAAATTTTCACACTTTTTGTGGTAAATTCTTAATTGAGGTGTTAGATAAGGAATTCCGAAACTTTTACTTGGTGTCGACCCCTTTTTCATCGACTCACTTACATTTTCTCTAAAATCTATAGCATGCAACATAATCATAGTACAAATAATTGCACATAAATAGCTGAAAGACAACAATCAGATTAAAAATATAAACAAAAAAATTTTAAAAAGTTATTAAATTTATGCTTAATTATTTTTTGTATAATTATATTTTTAATTTTACAAATATAAACAAAGTTTTCGGAAACAAAATCACAGATTCTAATAAAAGTTTGATTTTAATTAATGTGATCGCTGCGCTCGATGTATTGATGCATTTTTTAAAAATATTTTGCACGAACTGCTTAAAATAATTTTTAAATCACTTCATTGAAAAGTATTCACTCTTTTTCTTTATTCTAGTTTTGTGTTCTTTGTATTTTTTCGAGTGTGTTTTCTTGTGTTATTGCCTTTTTACTTTTTCATATTGCACTTATTGCATAAAAAAATATCTGAAAGTCTTCAGATTTGACATTACAGCCGAAGGGGCATTTTTGTTTCATTTACACATGCATACACGTTTTGAAAGCCGTGTCGAGAGCATAAGGGCTAACACCCCTTCGGGCTAAAAATATTTAAAAACAACATATCTTTAGAATTTCGGATAGACAGTCTCACCTGCTGCAGATAAAAACATTTTATTCCCTACAGTGAGTTGCATTGAAATCGTTTACTTCCTTAATCAAAAATTCAGTTAAAAAATATATGAAATAGATGATAAAAAAATTCGAAATTCAAGATTCGGGCTTCAAGGTACCCATATTCGGATGGTGGGCTACGTTATTCAAAATTTGATGGCTCTAGGTATTATTGTCTTTTCACAATGCAAGATATATACATACATTCATGCTCATTCATCACTATTTAATTTTTTTTAATATAATACAAAGCGATAATATTGGGTGGCAACAATTTGAAAAATGATACAACCGTTTATAGTGATTCGACACAAAATGCCGTTTCGAGACTAATAGCCCTTCCGGGCTAATGCCCGTTTGGGCTAAAAATTTATATATTTTAATGTGTTATTTAAACGTTCATTTTAAAAATACATTAAATAATTTTAGTACATATTTGTAATTTTATGTAATTTCTTCTAGCTTTATATTGTTACGGATTTCGTATTTAATTGGCTACTTTTTGTAGAATTGTAGCTAAAATTGTTTTATTTCCTCGTACAATTCAGGGCGTGATGAATTTTAAGAGAAAACTACACCGGAAAAAGTAAAAATACACATCAGCAAGTCCATTTAACATTTAAAAAATAAAAGTTTATCTCAGTAATTGACATTTAATTTGAATAAATGTAGTTGACTACAAAGTTAACTGTAACCATAATTCTACGCTCTTTCCTTTCCAGAAATTGCTAGAACTCTCTCGTGCGACTGATTTAAAAAGCTATAAAAGCCAGAGAGAGAACATGTCAGCTCAGTTCTTTTAGTGAACTGTTGTTTTCTAATTAAACTTAACATGTTTCACAAACAATAATCAATCAAAAAATGGACTGTATTCCTACACTTTTATTAAATTACACTTGTCAGCGATGCGAAATAATTGATACAAAATAAGCGAGCCATTCTACATGGCTGTCACAAACACAATTCTATCAATCAATTATCTTGTTGCCACACATAAAGTTCAAAACTAAAGGAAGAAAAGCAAAAGGAATTTACGCTGTTTGCAACAATAAAATGAAGCAAACGATACTCACATAAACATCCTGGCCCTCGTTGAAATCCCAGGGGATTTCAACAGTTGGAGCATTTTGAAACTTCTTAGTCTGTAATAAAGATAAACATAAGAAAAATAATACAAAATATTATATGCAAAGCAGTTCATAGTTTTTTAGTCTGAATAGAAAGAGGACACAATTTCACGACTGGTCGTTTAATGACACCATGACCAGTTTTAATACTAGCAACTCTGACTCTTTGATCTGAGCCCGGATGAACAGCAATTATTCTCCCTAACCTCCATTTAAGAGGCGGAAGGTTGTCTTCTTTGATGAGGACTAAGTCATTGACTTCTAAATTGTTTTGACTTTTTTGCCATTTAGGTCTTTGTTGAAGCTGAGACAGGTATTCTCGACTCCATCTTTTCCAGAAGTGCTGAAAATAAACTGTCCTCACATGCCATCTGTCAATGTGATTGAAGGAAATATAATTTAGGTCTGGTTCAGGTATGGCAGTTAAAGACGTTCCTATTAGGAAATGACCAGGTGTTAATGCAGTTAAATCATTTGGATTAGCCGATGTTGGACACAATGGCCTAGAGTTGAGACAAGCCTCAACCTGCGCTATCAAGGTCTGAAATTCCGGATAGGTCAGCACAGAATCATCAACAGTCCTTTTTAGATGTAATTTCATTGACTTT